TTTTACGTGACGTTTTCCGGTTTGTTGTCATCCAGAAATGTTGCTACTATGGTTACGTGACGTAACGACTTCTCCTCTTCATTACAGCAGGGATCACTTGTCTAATAACTTTCCTAGTCATTTTTCCATGCACAGGTTTAAAACTTCAAAAATCCTATCACTTTCAAGTTTCAATGTCCATCCTTGCCATCCGTTGCAAGAGAAGACAGGAAAAGTTTGCCTAAAACTAAATACACATTTTATAGCAGGCTTTAAAAGTGCAGCAGATAGCGTGAAGTAAACCCTGTAATTGCTTAGCATTGAATGATGAATGATTACTGATAATCTTTATTGAGGATGCAACTTCACTTAACTAGGGATTTACAGGAGCGGGTCCTCTTAGACTAAAATCATTAACGAAAATAACAATTTACATGATATTGAAAGTTTAAAAAATGGTAAAAGTTTTAAAAAAAGTTACATGATAAAAGTTTAAAACATGAGATGTACATCAATAAAAACTAAGAATCTAAAATCACTTAATAAATGATAAACATATATTTAATAACATACAGGTATGTAAGCTACTTTTCAATCGAAAACCAAGCGCTTCCAAATAAGTACCTTAAGTAAGTACCTCTGTCCTGCTCTGGATCAGATATAACGCAGCTGAAAAAATTCCGCTCATCAATTTCTCGTCCCATAAAAGTTGTCATCTATTCAGCAGAGCAACATGAGCCCTAAGCTAAGCTCTCTCCTCTCTCCACGGCCTAGCGCTTGTATTTTCATACATTTCTCCGCTGTTTGATGTCATTTCTGGTGCTAAAGTAAACCAGTTTCAACATAAACTGACTCTCTCGTTTCAGTGTACAACAACACAAACGTACATAAATGTTTCACGATTAACTACCCCTTTTACCTCCGATTTAGAACCCTATAAAATTAAGGATACCAATACAGTATTTACCATCTTTGTTCCCGTTTTTTTGCAAAATATATTTGTCCACAGCAAATTTGATCTATTTTTTTGTGCAGTTTTTTGTTCATGCGAGGGGACGGATGTTGACTGTTTCAGGTGAATATCGACAACTGTCGTTTCGAGCTTCCTTCTCCTTTACAGCTAAACGTCTGCAGAACCACACAATAAGAACTCAGCAGGTCCCAGATGTAAATAGCTGCAAGCACCTTTGTTTGTGGGAATCTAACTGCGTCAGTATTAATTTCAAAGAGAAAACAAGGAGCTGTGAGTTGAACAATGCAACTCATCGAGGGTATGGTTATCACCTTGAGGACAATGCCAACTACGTATACCATGGAGCAGATGTAAGAGTACATCATAAGATTTAGACTTAGATTTAGATTTAGCCAAGCCAAAAGCGAAGCTCTCGTGGGAACTTTTAGGAAATGTCTTTCTGAAGTAAAGTTTTGTAAGCCTGGAATAAGTTGAATACAATAACCGGGCAGCAGAAAAATTAAATAAAACACGTCACCTCAATGAATTTTTCGCCTGAGCCCGCGATACAGTCATGTGACACTGGTCAGCAGATACCCTATTGTGACAGCTGTCAATAGATCATAACATGGATGCGAGGCATTTCACATCCGGTAACATGAACAAGCACAAGTACGAACGGACGATTTTGTCGGAACCAAATTTCTTGGATGCATAGGTTGCATGTTTAATCATTTACAAAAAGTTCCTAGAAAATCCGGTTGGATAAAGCAAATGGAACAAAACGTTTTGGATAGTTCCTGCGGACAATTTCCAGGAGCAACGGAACACCTGAAAAGGTAGTCCTGTTTTTCGGGACGGAATATTCCAAACGGAAATTTGTGTTCCATTTCTAAAGAGTCACCCTTGATACCAGCTTCAAGGTCGTTTTTCAGTAAATGGAAGTGATTTGTACAAATGGCGAAAGCGGTTGCGGGACGAAATCTTCAAGTCCTGAATTTTGCTTACCATTTGCCTAAACTGTGGACCGACCGGTTTGCCCGTGTAAATGCTAAACAACCATAGATTAGTAACCAAATTTTCTTACCCATGGTGCTGCACTATCAAGTACGCCACAAGATTCAACTGTTAAATGTTTACTGGTAATGCCCACACCTGGCTTCTGACGCACGTCCCTAGGAGTGCGTTCCTTTGGGATGATCTAGATCAGGATCACTGATCCGCGATCACTCGGATCATGGTAGATCAAGTGAACCAATGAATCCTTGTCCAGAGTGGATTCATCGGTTCATTTGCATTTGATCTACTATGATCCGAGTGATCTCGGATCACTGATCCTGATCCGGATCATCTTAAAGGAACGTACCCTAGGACTTTGGGCTGGCAAAAACGCTTGCCAAAGCCCTGCCTGGGAGATTTGGCCTCACCCTTCCGATTTCAACTGAAATTGTATATTACTTATTAACCGAGAGTGAGGTCATTATAGGCAAATCTCAGACCGCGAGGCCTTGATGTATTGACCGAGCGAACGCGACGGCAATACATCAAGGCCGAGGTCTGAGATTTCTCTGTAATGACCAAACGGACGAGGTCAATTAGTTGTATATTATATGGCCTTTTCATGATGGACCGCCTCAATCGGCATGCGATCAATTAAACCCAACAGCAGATAACACGTCACCTTAATGAGTTGTACACTTGAACCCGCGACACAGTCGGGTTACACTGGTCAGCGGATGTCCTTTTTTGACAGCTGTCTGTATGGCCATAGGGATGTCCACTATTGTATATGCCATGAAAACCTAGTTAGTAATGCCCAGTCATTACAATAAAACAGCCAATCAGAGCGCGCATACTATTGTAGCCATGTAAAAAACTAGGAGAGACTTTTTTTGAAAAAGTGCCCCACTTAATACCCACACTTTCTTTCCTGTATGCAGATCGGATGCAGAAATAGACAACAGCATGTCTACTCGGCAGATTTAGTCAACACAACAGCAAATGTGAACATGATAGAGCGCTGAAAGGTGAAAGCGAATTGCAGAGCTTTAATTAGCCTCTCTTCCATGGCTCATTGCGGTTTTTAGATCTGCGCGAGCCTATGTCACTGTCGTCACATTGTACATGCAAACATTCGTTTAGAATAGTGGCCCAGAACAAGGGCACAACATTGCACGGAGGGGATATGTCTTACACAGAGAAGTTTCGCTTTGATTACTTAGATTTGCTACATCATTTAATACCTTTTCATCTCATTCACCGTTCATTTGTTTCTTGAAAGAGTGTTTGTGACGTCAATCCATGCCATAACAAGTCTATCTGCCAGTCGGGATTTACAGACCAAGGGTATCGTTGCGTATGTGCTCCGGGTTTTACCGGCGAAGATTGTGGACAGGGTAAGAATAAATGAATTGAAAACGATTTTGTTTTTCTACCATTCCTTCTAACACCATTAACTGAAAGATGCTGCTGATTAAGAATTATTTTAAGAGCCAGCTTTGATTTCGTCTTTGTTAGGCAAAAGCAGTAAAATAAAGCTAGGTTGTACTCTTAATGAACCCCTGATAACAACTTTGTGAGGTTGTCAGGACGAACGAAAGCGCACCCGGGGACAATTAAAGGGGTAGAATATTGCTTTATGGAAAGAACAAAAAGAGCGCGCATGACCTTCCTAGTTTACTTGGCAACCGAGGTAAAGGGGAGCTTAAATAATCATTTTCCCCTGATTTCACACACAGATTTTAGCTACACGCAATTTTTTGTTAGAAGAGTACAGTTGACAAAGTACTTTTTTCATGACAAAACAAATGAAACTATGATTATTTGTTCTTGGTTCAGAAATATTTTGATTCGCAGACTGACATGACTATGCATTAGGCGTTTTTTTTGAGACAATTCAGAGGGATCGCTTCGCTGTTGTTTGCTTGGTACCTTTAAGCGAGCAACTTCTTTGAAATTTAGTCCTGTGTCGTTTATTATTATACAGAGTTTTTTCCTTATCTCAAATATTTCAATTTGCCCAGATATTGACGAATGCAGTGTCTTTCCCTCCATCTGTGATACAAATGCTATCTGTCGGAATAGTGAAGGATCTTACCTATATTCATGTAAGGTAACCCTTAACCTTTTAAAAGTATAATAACCTATTTAACAAAAGTGTAGTTCTACTATAAACAATTCTTAACTATACGTGCGTCTATTGAGGAATAACTAGACTGATTGAATCATACATGTTAGATCAAGAATTGAGAGGAAAAATAGGGAGAGGAAAAAATCAATGTAGGAATATGCATGGTAAATGGGTTGAAAAGATCTAGATTTGGAAAACATTTAAAAAGCCAGTGAAAACAAAACTAACTATCTGCAAATATTTCAAACATGTCTGGAAGTGTTTTGTCTGACATCGAGACGCTCATTGACAGATTATCTATAGAGTGGGAGTGTTTCGTCTGATATTCAATCGCCGCGATTTAACAAACACGCACGATATCCTAGCACTGACTGCGTGTGTTCAAAAACGGATGGCAGAATCTCGTGTGACTCTCAGAGGTGATATACCAAACAGATGAAGGAGCTTTTCGTCTGATATCAGGAAAAAATGAAAAGTGAGACACGAATCACCAGTGGGAGTGTTTCATCCAATATCCGGTCACCAGTGGAAATATACAAAACACGAGTGGGAGTGTTTCAACAGATATCAAGACACAAAGAAGTTTTTAAAAAGAGTTGCGACCCATTTTCCTCGTCGATTTCGATGTTTCGAAATATTGGTTGAAACACGTCATTTATAGCAGGCGCGTTTTGATATAGTTCCTCAAATTATCAGCTCTATTCAAGTTTTAGAGAAAGTCATTCTTCGAAGTTCGAAAAATGCTATGACGATCAATATTCCATTTCTTTCTTTCTCCTCCATGTGTTGTTAACGAGTTTCAGAGACGCCACCTAGAATTTATATAATTACTGTTAATCGTGTGTTTGATTTTGCTGCCTTTAAATAATATAAGCAGGCACACATTTCGTCATATTTTTTATTATTTGTTAAATAATCTGTAGCTCATTTCCTCCAGCTTACGAAACCGTTGGATGTTATAAGGACACCACAAATCGAACAATCTCAAGTCTAGAAGGACAGGACCCAATTTTAGATGGACCATTCACGGAACGAGAAAACGCCATTTCCAAATGCGCGTCGGCTGCCATCAAAGCGGGTTTCATTATTTTTGCAATTCAGGATGGTGGTCAGTGTTTCTCTAGTGCCACAGCACCGCGAACGTTTGACAAATATGGAGAATCAAATGATTGTCAGTCTGATGGGGAAGGAGGAAGGATGGCCAATCACGTTTATTACATCAAAGGTACGATATAATGGTCATAAAAAAAACGCAACTTGGACCAGATCTCTTTCTGTATAACGGCAAAAGTTTTGCTTACCGTATTTATTCGATTAACCGCCCAGGGGCGCTTATTAAATTTTTGGACCTTGGGAGTGGGCGCTTATTCGAGGTGAGCGCCTATTCGTGGCTGGGCGCTTATTAAATTTTCACCATTTTCAACAAGTATAGTATGTTTATTTTGCAACAAAACAATAAATGGTAACAACGAAATGCGAACATGTAACAAAGCAAAGTTTCCTTAAACTACCCCTACTCTTAACAAAACTCCATCTTCGGGGAAGTCTCTTTATGTTAATACTTTTTCAATTTCATTATAACCCAAGTGGGTGGGGTGGGGGTGGGCGCTTATTAACTTTTTCCGCCTTTAGGATGGGCGCTTATTTGAGGTGTGCGCTAATTCGAGGTTGGGCGCTTATTCGAATAAATACGGTATGTCAAAAGAAAAGTAGCGAATTAAATAAAACCTGAACACGTGTGGACGTGGCCTAATTACGCGGGATGACGTAGTCAGCCAGCGTCATAAATTCGGTTGCGCATTCCTGTCGTATTTTTTGGTTATTAATTAGTACCATCGCAAATTCCATTTTTCAGGATATGATAGCGTTGGATGCTACAGAGATACCGAAGATCGAGCAATTCCACCCCTGGAGGGGATGGATCCTATTTTGGACGGACAGTACCAAGTTCGAAAAAATGCTATTGCCAAGTGTGCGGTAGCTGCAATAAGAGCAGGTTACCATATGTTTGGTGTTCAGTATGGCAGATGGTGTACATCCAGTGCGTCAGCTCCACAAACATTTGACAAATATGGGGAATCTAACGACTGTGGAGCTGATGGCGAAGGTGGACCTTGGGCCAATCATGTTTACAAAATAATAGCATGATTTGTACGTGATATTTGGCAAAAATACCACTCGTGATATTTCAAAATTGTCTCAAATTTCACTCGCCTGACGGCTCGTGAAATTACGTATAACAATTTCGAAATATCACTCGTGGTATTTATGCCAAATATCACTACAAATCATGCTATTTCCTATACTAATAGAGACCTTTAGATTTGAGGATTAGGACGACTACGAGTACGAGATGTGACTTAAAGTTTTTTCGCGTATTCTCAAAATATATATAGACTTCCCGGAAAACTTTAGTTCACCATATTTCACTCGAAAAGTTAGCACTGTTGAGTGAAGGAGGTTACGCGCTTTGTCGATCGCAAAATGATAAAACTTCTAACATTTGATAACTCGTCTCCGCCATTAAGACATTTTCGCTAAAACTCGTAGTAGAATGACGACGGCTACCACGTTTTCCCGCCAAAATGACGCTGGCGCGAGCACTACTTAGTATTGAGAAAATCTCGTGCTCGTAGTCGTACTCGTCTTAGAATCTAAAGCTCTCTAATGTAAGGGAACCTGGATTCCGGAATTCGGGAAAATTTTGCTTGTGGAATTCAGAATCCTGGGTTTTGGAATCCGGAATCCCATCAACGATTGGAATCCGGAATCCAAGTTCCACTGACAAAGGACCCGGAATCCATAGCGTGTAGTCTATGCCAGAATCCAAGACTGCCTTGGTCGATTGCCTTACATGCATATGGGGCGAGTTTTCCATCAAATCGTCTGGTTTTCAAAGAAATTGTCGCATATCAAGAGCAAGCTTGAGCAACCACGGCGATGACGAAGGAGACGAGAAAATACCGTAAAATTCCGAAAATAAGCCCCGGGGCTTACATTTTTCAAAGGCCCTTTTTAAGGGGCTTATTTATCGAGGGGCTTATATTTGGAGGGGCTTATCTACGGAGGGAAATCGATTGGGGTAGCCTTATAGTTGAAGGCTGAGTTGAAGGTAAATTTACCCTTTTTGCTTTGTTTTACCTTGTATTTGAGGGCAATTTTCCAAGTACAAACCCCCAGGGGGGCTTATATTTGGTGAGACGATTTAACGGAGGGTTTTCTGCGTTACCGGTTTGGGGGGCTTATTTTCGGAATTTTACGGTAATAGTAATAATAATAATAATAATAATAAATAGTCATAGTCAACACTACAGCTGCCCCCGCTCTGTATATTGTCGGTCAATAGCATTCTTGCTCGTTGTGTAGCCGTGAGATAAATACAGGAAATAATTATAAATATAGGTGAGATAAATACAGGAAATAAACGCAAGGTTCCATGCACAGTTTCGGTTCGATTTACACAGCTTTGATCAAAACATTCTCAGTTTCGAGAATATTTTATTCTAAAACATAAGAAAAGATTTGATTAGAAGTTTAATTTTTCGTTATTTCTATTTCACTTTTTACATTAAGTTCATTTTATTTGCTGGAAAGTAAGCCTTAGAAATTAAAAGGACGTTTGATCAATTCACGCTCGCGCATTCTAGTCTTATTTTAAACTTATATAGTGGAAGGACATCTGTGAGCAGGGAATAAGTCAGCACAGAATTTGATGGTCGGCGAATTTCTGTAATCGTCCATCGTTCTGCTAGTGATAATGCTTGTTTGGGGCCGAGTCTTATTCCGGTCAAAGAAAGAGGAAGAGTGTCTGGCAAGGTTTCCAATCAAAGATTTGTGATCTCGTGCCTGGCAAACTCACTTGGTGTTAAAATATACACTGTTATACGCACATTAGTCACCTTATAACTTCATCTGCGTCCATAACTTTCATAACAACTGCTGCACAGAATGTCACTGATAACACGTAACGCAAAAGAGTGTCGAAGTATGACTGCACAATAGACTGGAAAACAGTCCGTATTTTTGCCTATTGAAGTACGCGCGAGCAGTCAAACAAAAGGTCTGGAACGAGGCTGAAAACAGAGAGCAAGACTGGGGAGAGACGCTCACAAGCCTTACGGACGCGTGAGGCTCGCGCTTGACGCGCGTAAGACTCTTACGCCACGCTTTACCGATTTCTTTACTGATTTTGAGAAAAAAAAAACGACTGTTTTGCAGTCTAACAATTAATGTCTCAAAATCTACCTATTGTAAGCGGTCCCTTCGGGATTCTTTGTGTTTTACGTCATCCTAACCATTTCGTACTTGCGGGCGGAAACAATAGAAACGTCATCATTACCTACCGATTCCTTGCGGCCCCTGTTCAAGCAAATCGAGATTTTTTCTATATTGACTGTATGACTGTATATTTCAACTGTAAGTACTTTCCTTAATATACGCGCGAGTTACTAG